TCTACCATCTGCCCCTGATCTGTCACAACTACACTTCTCCACCATGCCAAAGCGTGATGAGCTTTAAGGAATGACTTCTTCGTCACTCATGCAGCTCACAGCATCTACAAAATACCAAAGGTGGAGCGGTGTTATGATGTCAAGAGAAGAACCCTTTTTGGTGTAGAATCTTTTTTTTCAAAAAGGTTCTATATAGGACCATCTATAACACATTCTCCATTAATCTGAAGAACGCTTTCATGATACGAAGAACCCTTTAATCATGCAAAGGGTTCTTTGAGTGTTCATGGTTCTATATAAACCCTTGAAGAATCATCTTTTTTTAAGAGTGAAGCTTGACATTGTAACAAAAGAAGAACCCTTTTTTTGGTGCTATATAGAACCCTTTTCAAAAAGGTTCTGTATAGAGCCATCTACAGCACAGCAGTTTCCATCAATCTTAAGAACCATTTCACAATGCAAAGAACTCTTTAATCATGCAAAGGGTGCTATGAGAGTTCATAGTTCTATATAGAACCCTTGTGGAACCATCTTTTTTAAGAGTGAAGCTTGACATTGTAACAACAGAAGAACCCTTTTTTTGGTGCTATACAGAACCCTTTTCAAAAAGGTTCTATATAGAGCCATCTTCAGTGCAGTAGTTTCCATCAGTCTTAAGAACCATTTCATAATGCAAAGAACCCTTTAATCACACAAAGGGTTCTTTGAGTGTTCATGGTTCTATAAAGAACACTTGAAGAACCATCTTTTCTAAGAGTGAAGCTTGACATTGTAACAATAAAGGAACCTTTTTGGGTGCTATATAGAACCTTGTTCAGAAAGGTTCTATATAGCTATCTATTTAAACCCAAGGCATTGATTTAAATAGTAATAAGCTAAATATGTACAAAAAGCATGTCTTGGCTACTTTCTATTAGGATGTGTCTGTCCCAAACTCTCACCCCTAAACTTACACTTGTGAAAATAATGCTAATAATAACTTTCCTTCAGTGTACAACCCCATTTCTGAAAAAGTTGGGATGCTGTGCAAAATGTAAATAAAAACAAAATGCTGTGCAAATGATGTGCAAATCATTTAAACCCTATATTTCATTGAAAATGCTTCAAAAACAACATACCAAATGTTGAAACTGAGAAATTTTATTGTTTTTTGAAAAATATATGCCCGTTTTGAATTTGATACCAACAACATGATACAAAAAAGTTGGGACAGGGTCATGTTTACCGCTGTGTTTCATCACCTCTTCTTTTAACAACACTCTGTAAGTGTTTATGAACTGAGGAGACCAGATTCTGTAGTTTTGAAAGTGAAATGTTTTCCCGTTCTTGTTTGGTACAGGATTCCAGCTGCTACAGTTCAGGGGCTCATTTGTCGTATTTTTAAATTCATAATGCACCAAATGTTATCAGTGGTGACAGGTCTGGACTGCAGGCAGCCCAGTTTAGCACCCAGACTCTTTTAATACAGAGCCATGCTGTTGTAATACATGCAGAATGTGGTTTGACGTAGTCTTGCTGAAATAATCAAGGCCTTCCCTGAAAAAGACGTCATCTGGATGGCAGCATGTGTTGCCAAAACATGTATATATCATTCAGCATTAATGGTGCCTTCACAGATGTGCCAGTCACCTATGCCATGTGCCCTAATGTCCCTCTATACCATCATGAATACTGGCTTTTGAACTGTGCACTAATATCGAGCTGATTGGCCTTTAGACCGGAGGACACAGTGTCCATGATTTCTAAAAAAAAATTCTAATTTTGATTTGATATGTTTTCTTTGAAGCATTTTCATTGAAATATAGGGTTTAAATGATTTGCACATCATTGCATTTTGCTTTTATTTACATTTTTCACAGCATCCCAACTTTTCTGGAAATGGGGTTGTTTTTTTTAAAGATGATTTCAAACTTTTTTATTTTTTAATTAAAACTGAAGTCAGAATATTTTGATTTATCATAAATTTATATTTTAAAAATATTTTACTGAACTACAGAGTTTTAGTCTGTGGGCGGAGCCTTATTTCAGCCACACCCCTACATTTTAGAGCAGGAAGTGAGGCTGCATCCCTGTTCCTCATGGCCACATAGTGAGCAGCTAGAGCCCATTGTTCTGTACTAAATGTGTCCCAAGGATGAAAAATATGATGACCTTATATGTGTATAGCTGTTCAAAGCTGTGTTCGCTAGTCATGGTGGGTATAGTTTGGTAGTGTTATGATTGTTTCGGTAATGACAAAATGTAATGTTCAAACATTTGTCTTAATCAAATAAACATAATTAAGTTATAGGATCACTCAAAGCAAAACAAAGTCCGTTAAAAGTCCACAATGTGTTTTCAACCCTGACTTTGAATCAATTCAGTGTTTTGCGCACATTTGTGTTGTTGGTTCAGTGGGTGACTGTCTATCCACTGTTTTACACCAGACACTGCAGGTAAGGCAGGTACTCAGCCTCCTGCTCTCCTTCTGTGTAGGTGTGAGTTCGTGGGCTCATCTGCCCTCCAGCCTCCCCTCACTCTCCAGCATGAATACACACACAGTAAACAGCCAATAGACTCTTCAGAGAGCTCACCCACCCACCCTCCACTCTCCTTACAGCAGACTCAGAGCACTGACACTGCTACTGTGGATGAATATTACAGCTGATAGACACATACAGACCCTGCCTGTGAAAAGTTTGGGGACACCAAGCTTTTCAATATGCTTTAATACAAACAAACATGGTTTCTTTGTCAATTTTCCATAACTTAACATATTAAACAAAAAAATATTTAAATCTTGCCGTGCAAAACTGTGTATTTAGGTTTATATTCAATATATGGCCAGTATTGACAAGTTTAGATCTGCACTTCCAACGTTATGTTTGTTTTGATGTGGAGAAACAACATGACAAAACATGCAAACCAGGCCTAAAACAATAACTGTACATCAAATTCAAATGTCTTTTATCTTCTATCTTCTACCTATAAACACAAATGTGGTGAGGATTGAAAGCTTGTTTCAATGAGCTATGAGTGAGAATTATTAATATTAAGGCCCGATCCGATTTCACTCCTCGCCCCCACCACTCAGCCCTTAGCCCTCTGATTTGCGCGTTCACGTCTAGGGGTAGGGTGTCCCGATTTTTGTTGAGATAGAGGGGTAGGGTGAAGTGTTAAAACACATTTCCAAAAAGGTAACTCTGCATACTTTGTTAGCCACCTTTACCCTGTTCTTCAGTGGTCAGGACCCCCACAGGACCACCACAGAACAGGTATTAATTGGGTGGTGGATCATTCTCAGCAGGCAGAACCACTGATGTGGTGGTGGTGTGTTAGTGTGTGTTGCGCTGGTGTGAGTGGATCAGACACAGCAGTGCTGCTGGAGTTTTTAAACACCTCAGTGTCACTGCTGGACTGAGAATGGTCCACCAACCAAAAATATCCAGCCAGCAGCGTCCTGTGACCACTGATGAAGGACTAGAGGATGACCAACACAAACTGTGCAGCAGCAGATGAGCTATCATCTCTGACTTTACATCTACAAGGTGGAGCGAGTGAGTGAACACAGTGTTTTAAAAAATATTTTATATATATATATAAAATAGAGAGAGAGAGAGAGAGAGAGAGAGAGAGAGAGAGGTAGCATGGTAGATGGAGAGAAAACTAGAGCAGTCTCTATTACCAGGCTTTTGTTTGGGTTTTTCGCCTGCGTGCGTCACGCTTATTCCCACGCATACAGCCCACACACAGCTCTTAAAGCACTGAGAACAGGGCTCCAACACACACATACACATACATACACACACACACACACACACACACACACTATTTGCTCTAACGAGAACTATTTATTGCGTTTACCTCCTCTATCTATTCAATTTTGTGCTAACTCTGTTTAGTACGCTTCTCTCAGGACACCACTACTGTACTACGATGCAAGCTGCTGCATTCGACAGTCACCATAAAGCTATAACTTTGCACAGTGGTGCTAAGTGATATGTGATCTATACTGCCATACAGGTATTGTTGTCGCACAACGATACTGATCATTTGCTTTAGTGGCACTGATAGATAAAGATCTTTGTGGATAACATTAAATCACAGAAAATACCCTCCCTGTTTCTAAGCAGTCTTTTTTTATCCAATTTTGTGCACTATAGTCATAGTATCCAGGACCCGACAGTGACCTGCAATGTATGTAATTTACTGGGTTCTTCAGACTGTTTTGAAAACTAAATAAATCATATATTTCATTCTAGAAATCTGCTTTATGTATGGTGAATATATTAATATAATGCTGTTGTCAGAACAAAACCTTGTATCTTCATTTTTGTCATTTTCAGTTTTTGACATAATTTGAAAGGGCCTGTTGACTTTTACATTGTGTGTAAATTTCATAATGAATGGTATAAAAGAAATGTCCCAAAATGTTTTGGGGAAAAGTCTGGTTCCATTGACTTACATTAAAAATACAGTATGTTTTTTGCTTCTCCTGTAAAGTTGTCATTTTGGAGATATGAGGTTTTGTTCCGACAGCAGTGATATACAGCATTATGCAAGGTTCCCTTCTGTGCCAGACATGTCAGACATATAAGACATTTTGGGTATAGAGTATCGGTACTTAGGTGGGATGGGTTCATTAACTTTATTAATACGCGCTTAAATATCACCTGATAGTGAGATGCTGATGTATATTTGGAAAATATTGTGATATTGAATTTTATCAACACTGTCCTGCACTAGTGCACAGTTCTAGCTGAATCTGGTGATGCTAGATACTGATTACAGTTTCTTTCACACCACTGCAGTTTGTTCTGCAGCTTCTGATTGCTGCAAACGAGACGGCAGACGTTTTCAGTCATGCTGAGTTCTTGTGATTTGCTCTGTTCTATATTTTACATACTGAACTAACTCACAGCCATGCTGTATTATCACAATCATAAGTGACTGACAGTCTTACATCTCTGAGGACTGTATGTCCTGATCTCACTGCCACACTCCAGGTGAGGGGGTCGTACCTGCTCAGGTAGTGGTGGGCTCCAGGTGGTGATGGTGGCTGTGTGTGTGAGTGTGTGGAGGACGGTGGCTGCTGGGTGGAGTCGTGTAGAGCACAGGCAGGACAGGGAGAAGAACAAGGAGAAAGGAAAACCTCCAATTTACACCTGCAGAAAGAGCAGCATGGGTCATTATTTAAATATGCATGAGACGCATGTATTAACAGCCTGAATGACACCAGCAAAAAGATGGCAAACGTGTGTATGTGTGTGTTTTCATACATCTACAGGAGACAAATGTCCAGACCAGCGAAAAACAGGGCTAATCTACAGGTCCAACAAAACTCCTGGCTTAGTGTTTGTATGTTTGTTTTGTTTTGCTTTTTAATGAGGGGTTTAGGGTCAGGTTTGAAATATTCTTATTACATTAAGATACTCAGAATTACAAATAATAGTACACTTATATGATTACATATCATTACAAACAGGTATTTACACACACATACAAAATACATATTGGACATATTACTACATGCAGGCAATTGCTTATATATTGCACATGCAGGCATGTGCAAAAGTTTGAGCACCTCTGGTCAAATTACACATTTCAGAGAACACACTTTTAAATGTGGCATGAGCAAATATTTTATGTTATGCTTTTCCAATATATATATATATATATATATATATATATATGTGTGTGTGTGTGTGTGTGTGTAGTGTTTTTATAATTAAAGAAGGCACAGCTGATGCACAAGTCATTGGGCTTTATTAAAGAGCACAGCAAATAAATGCTGCAAAACTAATACTCTAAAATGAACAAGTAGAAGATTTTGAACATGCTACTATATGTATATATATATATATATATATATATATTCACATAGTGAAATAGCATAGCTCTAGGCACTTAAGAAAATAACACAACAAGCAGTAAGGGCTTACTTTCTTAGAAAAAGTACTAATATAATAAGCAATTATTTTATGTATATCAGTATTTTGGTTAAAAAAAGCCTAACTGCAGTCATCATTCAACACTTGGTTTGACGAATCAATGCTTCATTGTGTTAAATAAAGTATGCTGCTAATGGAACTTAGCAAATCCATGCAGTAGCTAGGAGTGTTAAGGAGAAATCTGGAACCAACCGTCTTCAAATCAGCTCTCAAAATCTCAACTCTCTTTTTGAATACCAAAAATATTCTTTTTTTATAATTATTGAATATTTACACTTGTAATTAAATTTGCTGCATTAATAGTTGGTTTGTAACTATTCTAATGCTGTTGGGCTATTTTCAAGCAATTCTTTTTCAACAAGGTTACATGTATGACCTCACATCACAGTACTGTATTAATGTAGTCATGCACACACTGTGTATGTGTGTGTGTGTATGACTAAAACTGATGAGCTCATGCTGCATCATTAGCATGTAATTAGCAATGAGATCACACCCAGTATTAACCGTGCAGCAGTGAGAGAACACACTGCCTGATCGGCCTTTGTCACTGTGTAAATGTCAATCTCTATAGTTAAAACATACCACCCCCCACCATCATCACCACCCCCACCATCATCACCACCCCCACCATCATCACCACCACACACGGAATAAAAGAGCAAATAACTGCAGCCTCTCCAACATTTACTCACACATAAGCCATGCTCTATGAAGAGGATCTGTTTTGCAGTCAAAGCAAAAAATGAAAAAGCTGTTTTAGCCCCTGGGAAACGATCCTTCACTCATTACTGCTCCTGAAGAGAAAACAGCACCACTACACGGACAATAATGTCCTTATTTCCATACTGCAGCCCCTGTGCTCTGTATTATATCTGTGTTTGGATAGTGGACTGGATTTTATGCTGAGGGTGATCAGTAAAGATAAAAGACTTTGAGATTGAAAGTGAGAGTTTTTCTTGTTTACTAATGAGCCAGTAAGATTTTTCTCCAAGGTTTTCTTCAAGGAGAGACAGCAGAAAACGCTGGACATGATAGGGCGAGAGCGTGTGGGGAATATTAACGATAGCTGCGCTGTAAGCAGAGCGGATAAAAGAAGAACTTTTTAGTTTACAGATAAGGAGGATGACAGGACGCAAACACTAAAATACTTCATACATTTAGCACCGAGTTCGGCAACATGTGGCTCCGGAGTCGCATGCGGCCCTTTGGCTGCCCTGTTGCAGCTCCACAGCTGAATTAGACTTTTTGGGAAAAATAAACTAAAATAATCCTCCTTTGCAGTGAAATAAAGCTCTGCTGATCGTTCAACACAGTTTAACAATAAATGGTCTTAAATGCTGGAGTTAATGTAGAACTGCTAATTCACCCTTTAACCCTGAAGGTTGGCGCAGACTACTGGTCACCATAGCAACAAAGACAATCTGGCCTTGCTAGTAGCAAACAAAAAGGCAAAGAGAAAGACATAAGACAAACATTGAAAATTTGGAGACGAAAGGACTTATTTGCATTTATAATCACTCCAGCTGGTTTCCTGCAACGAGAAACACTAAAAAGTCGTGAGGCTGAAGTCAGTTTCTCGTTCACCAGCTTCTTGTTCGAAGTGTCCCGTTTCACCTTAAATTGTGCAGCAGTGACCTTCATTTAAGGTGGAACTGGAAAATTCAAACAAGAAGTTGGCGAACAAGAAACGACTTCAGCCTCGTAAAAAGTCGAACATTGAGAGACATTTTACAAGAAACTGTTCTACTTTTTTTGGAAACGTTTCCTGCTGGAGATGTGAGAAAAGCAGCTATAGTTGAGCTGAAGTTTAAGTAGAGCAAAGTAAGTCTGCTTTTTCGTTTATAGTATATTTAGGACATCAGCACACATTAAGACATATTTTTAGCCACGATGGGAAAACGAATAAAATGCACATTTAATGTTGTGGCTCCCAAGGTGGTTTTATTTTTGTTGAAAGGGCAAAATGGCTGTTTTTAACATTTGGGTCACCGACCCCTGATTCAGCATAACACACCGAGCCCATTCTGGTCATGCTCATCCCTGATTGGACCGTGCCTCTATCAGCTCCCCTGTGGAAGCACCTCTGGCAGTGATACAGTGCCTGGCAAAAGTTTAGGAACCATGTTTGCCTTCTCAAACTTTTCTTTTGAGTTTCAAATTTTTAATTAAGAAAGAAAAATACCAGCAAAGCTTTTACCAACATAAAATGGCTGTGCAGTAATCTTTAGGGCATATTTAGCTTCAACACTCAGCTTCCTGTGAATCAAAGTGTCTTCCTTCTTATGAAGAGAAGGTATTGATTTGACAGTTTTCTTTTCCCAGCTGTCGTTAAAAGCACATATTGAACATTTTTGGGTCCAAAGGTGGTTTAAACTGAAAAGTCTGAGTGCTGATATAACAACTAGGGGATACATAGTGTAGGCTTTGGCATCGTTTCCAAAGTGGGACCTTTTTCTGATGTTCTTACAGGTTTTGCAAAGAAAAATGCTAAGCAGCTTTTTGTTCAGAGTGATGAGTTACTACAAACCGACCAGGAAAACAAGCTTGAAACATATTTTTGAAAGCAAGGTGTCCCAGATTCTGGTCTTCTTCCAGCTTCGGAGCATCTGCTGTTCCTGGGCCCTTCAGTTTCAGAAACTGTGGAGCCCACCTTCTCTTATCCCTCATCACGTTACCCCATGGCAAGCTACTTTTGGTACAGCAGAGGTTCTTAATCCTGGTCCTGGAGTACTGCGCTGTACACTTGTACACTGTCTTCCTGCTCTAACAGTCCTACCTTCACTCAAGAAAGACTAAGCACACTTTGGGTGTGTCTCAAAACCTAGTGAGCTCTACATAGACAGCATCTTACGTCACAATATGTGCGCTCCCAACAAGAAGGCTGTCCCAATTGTTAGATATCTCAAATATGCTGCCTACTGAGGTCCCTAATTTTGTCCAAATATCAAGAGAGCATCGGATGTTTCCTCAGCCGCTGAGGCAATCCCGAGATGCAGCGCGGCGCAACTTTTGCTTAAAGATGGTCTTCAAATGTAAATTATTCTGATTTTTTGGGCTATACTTTCCGCGTTTGACCACAACTATTGTCTATTTTGCTGTTTCATTCAGAGCAAATACAATTAAAATCGCTATATAAACTGCCAGAGCAGATCCATGTTGGCTAACTGTGATTCTGACGGCTAAGGTCAGTAAACGCCGGTCTCGTGCAGTGGGCGGGAACAAGCGGCGACATCACTGCTGTCTAACTAGAGCGTCTCATTTATCTATCTTATAAGGATAGATGATGGTTGGAACGCTGCCTACTTAGACAGCTGCCTATGTAGACAGCGGCTACTTAGAGAGCTCAGTAGCTTTTGAGACACACCCTTTCTTTCTCTTTCACAGTGACCATTCCCTCTGCTTTTCTGTCCCTCACCTCTGGTAATTCCTATCTTTTTTTCTGAGAGTTCCAGTGGACTCTATTGTTCCTGTCCCAACCTACTAAGCAACTTTTGATCCTGTCAGTCACTGTCGGACCATTTCTTCTTAGCATTGTCATTTCAGATCGATTTCTTCTACCCACATTGCCTAAGTGGTTTAGCAGCTCCTCAGAGCCGATCTACCACTGCACCTATTCATCTTTCCACTGGCCCTAATCGACTCCTATATTTTTGCCCAAACCACTCTATTTGTCTCTCTTCTTACATCACCTCTTTATCTCAGACAGCAGCTTCATAAACACTAAAAAAATGAAAGCTTCTAAGTAGTTTTGGATGTACAATTCTAAGAAAAACCTTTGGGCTGAGAATCTTCAAATTACCTGGAGGCTCTTTAAAAGTCAAAATGGATCTTCAAACTTTCATGCTGTATTTATGAAAAGGGTTCATGAAAGAATCATTGATTGAGAAAGGTGGCCCTCTTACGGCATCACTCCAAAGAACCTTTCTGGCCTTTATGAGGCGAGTCGTCTCATCTTTCTGGGATCCGCTTTGTTGCTCAGTATAACCTGTTTACCCTTCTGTCTTTGATCTTGCCTTGACCACACTTGTTTCTGTCTTCCTGCCTTCTCCTTGATCTTTGTTCAATCTTCAGCAGTCAGTTTATGTCCAGTCTCCTCTCCTTCTCATTGAGATGGTTCACACTGGTCAGTAGTGTGCCTCTGGACTAGTCTGTGTCCTGATCTAACTCCGCATATGGCCTGGCTCCTGTCTTCTCTATTACCGTTACTCACT